ATATCTGAAAATCAGTTGAATATACAACAGTGGTGTAATACTGGATGATCTTCCCTTTGCACTCATGCCATTTAGTTTAGGATTGACCGCTTTCCCAGTGATGTCCCTTAAGGCCGAATCATGCATGACCGCAGGCAACATACCAAAGTAGCAGAACATCAACCCCTTACCTTATGACATAGTCAAAAGTCACAAAAGGGTACATAAATGAAAGTCATATCAATAATGACACGTAAGACTCACACGGTGAGGTGAGAGAATGGATCCCTGTTTCCTCACCGTGTGAGTCTTACGTGTTATTATTGATATGACTTTCATTTATGTACCCTTTTGTGACTTTTGGCTATGTCATAAGGTAAGGGGTTGATGTTCTGCTACTTTGGTATGTTGCCTGCGGTCATGCATGATTCGGCCTTAAGGGACATCACTGGGAAAGCGGTCAATCCTAAACTAAATGGCATGAGTGCAAAGGGAAGATCATCTAGTATTACACCACTGTTGTATATTCACTGCCGGCAACTCACATCGCTCTGTATGAGAGGCGAATTGAGTGTGAATATATTGCAAGAATTGAGAGGGTCAAACATGCTCTTTTTGAGGGATTAGAGATGTTTTTTGGACCGGTGTAATTAGATGGGTCTGGGGTATATGAGACACTATTTCTGTTCTTTTTGGAATGATGTCTCTATGCTGGCTCATTTTGAGTTTCTAGTATAAAGCTCCCACATGCAGGTGTTCTCAGCAGTCTCACGGTGCAGTGGCTAGTATGAGATTGTTTATTTTTTGGGAGATTGAGATAGAGACGTGGCAGTGTCATGCTAACTCATGTCCAAGTGGGAGATGTTAGAATTTGGGCGCCCATGTGGCATGTCCCTCAGAACCTTTTGAGCCTGAACCTTTTGAACCTTATCCAAATGGGTTTTTGAATTTGAATTCAAATCTATTTAGATAGCCACTTAGGATATATATCTATCATATCATGATATGGATAAATGATATAGATATCAGATATTATCTCATATAACCAATATGGATAAATGAGATAAATAGATTATATATGTGATATATGGGATATGGGTGATTAAAAGGGAAAAATAACGTATGTTTAAGTTTTTTCCCATATACTGACTCTCTCCAAAAAATAACGATCAAAGCCATTTGCATTGTGATTTGTGTGGGTGATATTCACTATTGTAATATCACCCCATTGCTGGATTGATTGACCAGATTCAGAAAGCACGTGATTTACCCACGAGATCCTTCAATTCAGACTCTGTTTGAAAGGTATGACCATAATATTTATTCCGCTGCGTTATACTTTGTTTACACACTATAAAAAAATTAATTTTTCAAAATTACCTTTTGATAATACATTTTTTTGGAGAATATCAATGTCATAATTGTGCTTTTTATGTTGTTAATAAATTTAAAAGAATGGCACAATAAAAAATTTATATTATTTTTGTACTTGATTTATAAAATAAGATTAATATTTTGAAATAATAAAAAATAAAATAAAAAATTAATAGTTTGAAACGAAAAGAGTACAATAAATCCTGTTTATATAAACAAGTTGATCGCCCGGAAACCACCACGAGTAATTTTTCCAACAATGAACACACACACAGACTACTGAGGAAAAAGTATTTGATCACAGCCCATGCGAGAATTTATTGGTTGATGACCGTTAGGTGATGTTTAACATTATTCTAATTGATGGAGAGGATAACATATATAATTGTATACTAAAGTGACATAATATATATTATAATTAGTGAAGTGTATCGCGTTTTAGGGCACCAAATAATTTTTTCCCTCATACACTAAAATAATGGAGCGGTTTTTCTTAAGAGCTATTTAAAATGATCTAAATAAGTATATTTTTTAATTTTTAATGAAATATGGATTGGATTTGAATTGGATTTGAAGTGATGTGTTAGAGAGCTAATGCGACTTAAATAAAATGATATAACTTAAATAGAATAGTGACTTTTTGACGTTTTGACTTTTTTCAAACTTGTCAAATCAGCCCTTAGTCTACTATGTGAATTTGAGCATACTATTAGATCCATGGACATCACAAATTTTGTTTTGATGATTTGAAACTTTTAATGTGTAGAGCTTGTTAAGTAAGTCATGTCTATAAAAAAACTCATGTTGATTAGATATTAGTTGTCCCTTAATTAGAACATATTTTGTTAATAATTTATTTTTAAAATCATATTTACCATATGTTTCAATCAAGAAGTTATTGATATTTGGTTAATGTAAGTTTTTACAAATATAAAATACTTGACAAACTTTACATATAATTCAGATTGTTAAAACGTGATTAGTGATAAATCTTATAAACCCAACAAATACATTCTAATTTACACTGTGGCTTCGTTTGGAAAGTCCAACTTGAGACTTTTTTTGTCTATTTTAGTTAAAAAAATAAAATAGATTATTTAATCTAATAAGACAAAATATCATATCCAACTCATATTTATTACATTCTTTTTCTCACAAAAAAAATTACAAAAATCAAAAATCTTTTTCAAACTAAAATTTTTAACCTAAATTAAAATAAAAAAAAAATTAAAAAATTAAAAAATCAATCCACATTCCAAACCCAGTAGGTAGAGGGGAGCTCTCCCTTCAAATAAAACGTTGACCCACATAGTTCAGGGGGTCTCTATCCCTTTACTTTATGATTATAAATTTGAGAAAAGACCCCTCACCCTACCACCCTGATATATAATTGCCCTCACATTCATATACATCCATCGCGCTCTCTCTCTCTTTCTCTCTTCCTTTCTTTATTTACTTTCTCTCTCCGCTACACTGTCTTCCAACTCATCACTCAGCAATAATCCCCAAAACCCAGGAAGCATTGAATTGAAGAATGAAGAGGTTGGTACTACAAATAGATAGAAGCTCTCAGTCACAGTTATATCACTAATAAAAACTCACCTCCACAAATTTCTATGTCTATCAGCCAACCAACCAATTGCTTTCACTCCATTATTACCCCTTTCTAGGCACCCTCTCTCCTCTTTCATTTTTCAGAGAGATAAAATGTGGATATATATGAGGAGGAGAGAGAGTGCTGTTTCTCTCTCTCTCTCTCTCTCTGGCTCTCTCGGAGTAATGCCGCATAAGCTTTTGTTGTGCTTAATGTTACCGAAATCTGCGAGCCTCGTTGGACCAATCGTTGCTCTCCACTTATCCCAATCAGCTCTCAGCCTTTTCAGAATACTCAGACGCAACTTCAGTATAAATCAATTGAATTTTTTTATATATCAACAACAACAATAACAGATTATTATTTTCTTTTTCTTTTTTTTTCTTTTAAAAAATAAAATACCTAATTCAAGAAACCTGTCTCTCCGTCTATATTTATATGTACAAGCTTTATCTAAAGTAGGCAAGAAATTGGTCTTTGAGTTTTCTTTGTGCCTCTTCAATCCCATGTTCTCTTTTTTTTTCCTGTGGGCGTTTTGGACTTTTTATTGAAATCCACATTTCAGGTTTCCAACCATTTTCAGGTATGACAGTATAGAAGAAAACTCAATGAGAGACTGAGATTCTCATGAAACTCAACCCATCATTTTCTTTTGCCTTTTTTAATTTTTAATTTTATTTTATATAACCTTTTCCAGCTTTCATGGTCGAGAAAGTTTTTTAAAACTTATGTAATATTTCTCTGTGTTGTAGTTATCTCTTTTCTCTCTGATGTTGCAGGTGATCACCTTTTTAAAGTCCCTTGAAATCTGTGATTTTAGTTTGGAGTTTTGCGTAGGCACAGAAGGGTAGTTTCTGGGTTTTCACAACACTTTTGTGTTGCCTTTTTTTGGTTGGTGTTTTTTGGGGGATTTCTACTACTGAACTAGTCAGGGCACCCATTTGAGAAAAACTTTGAAAAAAGGATTTTCTTTTCGAAGGTTATTCTCTTACACTTTTTTTTTTTAACCATTTTGATTCCCAAGGAAGCAATTTTTTTTTCCTCAAAAACAAACAGTCCTTTTTGTTCTTATCTATATATTGTGGGAGGCGGGTTTTTGTTGTTCAAGTTTTTTGAGTTGGGTTTTTGGGAGCTAATAAGCAATGGCTAGTGGGTATTCAATGAGAGATGAAGATTTTCAAGAAGAAGATGTGTGGGGCGTTATGAAGGAAAGATCAGAAGATTTAAGCCCAAAGGCGAGAAAAGTGAGGGACTACTCATTTGGTTCAACATCTACTCCAAGAATGATCATCCCAAGGGCTAACAACAGTGAGGCAAAGATGGCTCATCAGCAATCATCAGCTCCTGTGAACATCCCTGACTGGTCAAAGATTTATAGGAAGAACAACAAGAACTCAAAGAAAGGTTCATGGGTTGATGATGGTGGTGATGATGGAGATGATGTTGATGATTATGATTATGATTATGATGATGAGATGGTCCCACCACATGAATATGTTGCCAAGAAGCTTGCAAGAAGCCAGATCTCTTCACACTCCATGTGTGAAGGGATTGGAAGGACCCTCAAAGGAAGAGACCTCAGCAAAGTTAGGAACGCCATCTTAACCAAAACTGGTTTCTTAGAGTGATCTCTCTCTGCCTATAGCACTACCACCGTCTTCATCATCATCACCATCATTATCATCATCACTATCATCATCATCACCATCAACATCATTTTGTGGAATCATAACCACCATTGAATCATCTTCATATGTCATTGTCATCATGTTCATCATAATCTTCATCCTCTGCCAGCAAGGGTCCCATTTAATCTTTTTTTTTTTTTTACTTTTACCATTAATTATTACATATAGCAGCATGTAATGCACTGGGGTCGGTTGAGCTATATGGCATTTGAGTTTAAAAGTTGTCAGAGCTGCTATTTTTGAGTTTTGGATTTTTTTCTATTTTTCCCTTTAGGGGTAAAAAGAAAAAAGAAAAAGAAATCTCTTGGCAGCCTCTGAAATTTTGTCAGGAAATTCAAATGTTCTATTGCAGATGGAATGCAACTGTATCAGGATATTTATATGAAGCAAAATTAGTTTATCATTGCATTTAAATATTATTTTCTTACACAATAGATTCTTTCTTGTGGAATATTAAATAAACATATAGAAATTAGATTAATGGAGTGGAAATGAAAATCCAAGACCTAGTGAAAACAAAAATGTTAGTGATAATAGATTACAAAAATATCTCAAAACTGCCCTTGGACAATAAGAAAAATTTGAAATTGATCGGCCTGTCGCTCGGAAAAGGCTTTAAGATGATTTTTGCCAAAAATGTTTTCGTGATCCGTAACATTGCTTGAGTGAAAATTATGTCTTTGTACATGGAAAAATTGTAACCGGGGCAAATAATTATGAAGTTTCTTGTAAGAACATTTTTAATCTTTTATATTTTTTTATCAAATTTAAATTTAATAAAAAAAATTCAAAAATAATTTTCAATCCTTTCATCTAACTATTCTTTGAAGCAAAGCAGTATTTTTTTATATTAAACTTGAGAATTCATCAAATCTTTTATCAAATTTGAGTTTGATAAAATTTTTAAAAGATGAAGCAATGAGGATGATTTTTTTTTCATCTAATTTGATGAAAAGAAAAATTTGGGATAAAAGAAAAAATTTTAAATAGTTTTTACTGAAATTTGATGAAAGGATTAAAGTAATTCATATTAAATCAAGTTTTTTAACTCAAATTTAGAATAAAATTAGATGAAAAAATTGTTGAGGAATTGGAAATGCTGTAACTAGGGCTGAGCAAGGAATCCGTGAAATCCGTAATCCGATCCAGTCCAGTCCAATCCGATAGGTTTGGATTGGTTTTTTGAATCCGTGGTTCGGTTCCGGATTGAATAATTAAAAATCCGCAGTTCACGGATTGGTTCCGGATTGAATCCCACGGTTCCGGATTGGAACCGATCCGGACCGTATAGAAATAGTCTATATTTTTATTATACATCGTCCCCCATAGTATCTTTTCTTATTCTATGTAAAATCTAAACTCAAATCTAAAATCGTATAATATTTTCTTTTATTACTTTTGTTTGTTAGTTTTAAGTTTTAATTTGCAATGGTCTAAATACTTATGGTGAAACCAGTTTTCTTATGGTTGTTTAAATTCTAGAACAGTATGTCGTTATTATTTATATTTTTATGAAATTCAAGTGTTATATATATATTTTTGTTATTTAATTATGTGAATCCGTGGTCCTAAACCGATCCAATCCGTATTTAAATGGATTGGTTCGGATTGGTTCCATGATTTAAACGGATTGGATTGGTTCCAATTTTTTAGGAACCGTAAATAACGGATTGGTCCTGGTTTTATCCCAATCCGGTCCAATCCGGACCATGCTCACCCCTAGCTGTAACTAGTCTTTTGTATTTCTCATTTATATGATAACTAGTTTAGGACTGTTAGGTTGCTAAGTGTGTTGCTATATTGTAATTCTACGTTGTTTTCTCCTTTCTCTCTTTCTATTCTTTTGATTGGTTTCTCACCAATCATAGATTACGTGCTAGCAAAGGATTGTACTTTTTTTTCTGTGTCAACTTAGTTGGGATTCGTAAGGTTAGCTATGATATTCTTTGCACTTTCTTTTTTTATTGATGTAAATTTTCGCATGTATCTTACTTTCTTCATCAATAAAAAATTTTTTACTGATAAAAAAAATATTATATAATAATTCCCCTACCTTTTCTCATTTTATTTTTGTATCTTTTTTGGATTATTCTTCAATACAAGCAAAAGTATGAGCATATTTTACCATGAAAAGTACTATTAATTTACCAAATATTAACTTTGTGGCTATTGAGGATTATGATGGATCGGGGTTTGACTCGCACAATGACACTTAACAAAGAATTAGGGTCCATTGGAGTAAGGTCAAAATATAATAGTATTATAATTTGTTAGATGTAATTAACAAAAATGACAATGACAATAGTTTCAATTTCTAATGCCTTTCTGAACTTCTGAGCTCCTGCCTAGAACTGTACATAATACTGCCAAATTTACTAAAATCATACCGATACGCATTGTTCTATCGATTAATTACGAATTAGATTTTAAATTTTATAATTTATTTTTGAAATCGCTTTACTCTACTATAATTAATATAAATATATTTTTTAACATCTAATAAAATATCAAAATAATAATGAGTGTGAGAGATATTTAAGACGAAAAATTTGTTACAAATTAGTAGTTATATATATATATATATAATATTATGTAAAATTAGTTTGTGTTATATATACGAAAAATATTATGTAAATTTCTATTATATATTATGCAAATACTTGATATTAGTTAACATATTTTTCAATCCGTCAATTCATCCCAATCTACTATTTGATTATATGTCAATCCGTTATTAGATTTATTATTTTACTTTCAAACCACCCAAATGCTCTGTGCACACACCCACTCCCACGTAAGGTTCTGTGGTCTGTTCCATCAACTAAATAAGTATTAAAAAAAATTTGTCTTTCAAAATGTTTTTTGTTCGGATAAAAATTTAAGAAAAACTATAGAAAAATAGGGGAAAATTACATATCATTGGAATATTTCCCAAAATTACGATGGACATGGAAAATTAAAAAATTAATTGCAAAAAAATGTAATGATTCACAAAGACAAAAATATCCTATCATTTCCTTTCCTTTTCCTTTTCCTTTTCCTTTTCCCCTTCCTTTCTAACTATCCATCGCCAGCCATTTTTCATCATCCATTCCCTACCGCTGCAGTCCCTGCCCGCATGTCACGACTTAAACCCGCCTTTATGGGTTTAGTATTGTAATCGGCCAGTAATTTGTGATTACCAAAGGCCTGCTTGACAATAATAACAATTATACAATAAGAGGGGCCAGCGGAAGCTTGTAAATATTAAAACATAATGTTCAAAGAGCTGTGAGGACTTAAATGAACAACACAAGTTTCATATCCATATATATGCACACAAATACTTAAGTCCATAAGACGCTTATATACTGTCACACCCCAAAATCTAGGCATGACCGGTCGTGGCCCACGGGGACTTAGCCCAAGGCACACGTAAGCCTTAAACATGAATATATAATCACATTGAACAACTATACAATAGTCCAATAAAAAATAACCAAAACTCAATCCAAACACATATCACAAGTATGAATGGCAAAATCAACCGTAATCAATACCATTTAAACTTATGAGATATAAACAGACCACATATCAAAATAATCCTAAATGAACCTCAACAAGAATAAAAAGAAATATGCACAAACTTGACATAACAATCTAAAACAAAATAAATGAATGTTCTAGAGGTCCATGCAATTGAGTCCCCACTATGCCACAAGTCCACCCTAAGTCCTTCTAACACATGGAAATGATAAACAACTAAGTTAGCTGATAGCTTAGTGAGTAGCAACATGGATAGTAAATACAGTTTTGAAAGCAGGGTTCAATTCCAAAATAAGATATATATCACAGAAACTAGATTGACATATAGTTTGGTAAAGACAATCTATTTCAAAAAGAAGGTTCCACAGTTCAATAGTTAAAATACTTATGTCTCTCAAGAACATGATAAATGACATTTTTCACTTAAAACAGATTACAACATGAACACCAATAATTTTTTGGGTACCAAGAAATAACAAGTAACATGCCACACAGTTCTCAAGGCTATAAGCCCCGTTGGATCCAATACCGAACTAAGAGTCATTCTCAGGGTGGCAACTCAAGCCTTTTCTCGAAGGTGATCAGATTGAAAGTCACATAACTTAACCTAGGTCTTTTCGTTACAATTGTTGAGCACTAGAGTCATCACGGCCCAACCCGAATCTATTCCCTAGTGGCCAGAGTCACCACACACAGTGAAATAATTTCCCTAGACTAAAATACAAAGATGGTCCTAATAATCAATACACATCAGTTTCACAAAACATTGTAGTTCACCATTATAAATATGAGACCAAAAATAAATATTTTACAGTATGCCAAGTTTACTCATGTATAATTTAATTCCATTGATAATATAATAGAGTATCAAAACAGTTTAGTCCTAAAACAACAATTTAATTTTCCAATAGTTCAGGATAAGGGAACATTTATAAAAATATGTAGCATGAAACTACTCACCTGAAAACGAAATAATATAATCCTCGAATAGAGTATGAAAGTCCAACTAGTGCCCTGAACCAAGTATGAAGACTACACGTCATTACTAATTTAAAAATACTAAAGAGAATAATAAACTAAGTACCCCACACTAAAGCGTACTATTACAGTTCAACCCCACTCACCGTTACTCTTAAATAATACCTAAGTTAATGTTCTTCAAGGTCTAAAATTATCCAAGACATGGATTCCCATCGAAACTTAACTAAAAGTAAGTTTAAGATAAAACGGAGTTTTAAATAAGTTTTCCCAATCTATTTGCTAACTTTGAAAATTAAAAACCCACTCCATGCTATTCAAAAAATTCCAAAACCCTTCAGATATCAACTAATATATCCTAAGTTTCAAACCCAATGGGTTTTACTTGATTTGCTTATGAAAATAATTATCTACAAGTAATTATATCTAAACAGGTTGTTTTCTGCAGCACTTTAAAGAAATTAATGGTTCTCTTAGTATACATGAGAAATCAATGCAAGGCCAAAAACGTACAAAACTAGACTCGTAACCGGTTCTAATGAAACTGATTTGATAATTTTCGGATTTATACCCAAAGAGAACGACACTTCCGAAGTTACTGTTTTAAACCAGTTTTCTCGACAGATTTGAACGCACCAGTTAATATAGATTTCGACTTCCAAAAATTATGAGAAAATTCAAATATGCAATTCAATATGTTATTAATCTATTGTAAAAATTTCAGTTCAAAATTCATTCGTTTGATATGGTTTCATGATTTTTAAAGTTTGTGATTCTGTACAGAATTTTTAAACTAAGAATTTCTCCTATTCTTTATATATAAATTTAATTCCTCAAGTTTCTTAACAGGATATCTATATACAAAATACATAAACCTATAAAATCTCCA